ATGGGTTAAAGATGTATTACTGTTACAATAATCCCTTTGACGCCCGAAGAAACAGTTTCTATGAGAAATGGATGTATTGTGAGACTCTTTCTCATCCAGCACACTTATAGCCAAATCCACCAAGGCCTTCTTTGCTTTGCGAAACTGGCCTTCGCCCAGACTGATGATTATTGTCAAATGCGCACAGCATGATCTCCAGATGGCTTACAGTCCATAATCAAAATTCCATATGTAGATGAATGATAGTTTATCCATGATGGCATAATTATGATAACAGGTGTGTAATTTGAAAACCTCCAATTCTCTCAACCAATTTTGCTTTAGTTTTCTTTTAACCAAAAGGAGGCTCTATTGTAAAGCATCTATTGCTTCAATTCTTGGAACACCTGATCTTTCATTTAAGAACAGGACATTTTTTTACTCCTTTGTAATAACTTCATTATATTAGTTCAATTATGCGGGAGATCATTAAGCCTTTTTCATTTAACACAAATCAAAACAAAAGCAATCATAATAAGTAAAGTTCCAATACAGATCAAAAGCACGTGCACAAAATTCTATGAATAATTGATAAAAAAATTAAAGCATTACCATGCATGTATTTTGTTCTAGCACTACAATATTCATAAGGTAAGGATAGTGAGAAATATTTTGTGAGCTGTATGACATGGTTCTGTCTTCCATTTTCCGGCGTCTCTATTTTTCCATTGTCGCTACTTTATGAATATTGTAGTGCGTGTGTTGTGTAACCAATTATTTCTCCAAGCACACATTTAGATGTTATGCATCTTTTTCTAACACTTTTTTTCATAGAACTACACAATGAATTTGCAAAACAATTATGATAGCCGTTAATCATTAGCCAAATTATTGAATGATTGTGATACGATAACCTGGCTCATTTCTCTTTCTTTCCAATTAGCTATGATGGTACCTCAAATTTGAATTGGGGTGCACATCATGCATAATAGCATAATCTTAGCTTTTTTCAAATATATTATAATTGGAGATATGTAAAGAAAGTTTTCAAATAATTCAATCAAATCCAAACATAAAACTAAATCATGAATAATTTGAAAACAAATTTCAACAATTTTAAGATCTCAAAAAATAAGAAACAAAATACCTGGAACTAATTTTAGACCAGCAACTCATGTAGCTCTTCCTTCCAAATAGCATTTCCAACCAATTTTGCTATAAATATCGTCTCTGTGATAGATTAAACATGCTATCTGAGAAAAAGTTCAGAATACAATGAAGACTACTTTTGAGAATAAATACCATTGGTCTAAGCTGTTACCAGTGAAACATTCAATACTACAACCCTAATGGAATTTAAATTACTATTTTAATTTAATTGCCTTAGGCAAAAAAAAGAGCTGAGCATCTAAATTGACATTGCGTTAAATGGAGATGAAGAAAGTGGGATATTGAAATAGAGATTCTCTTACCCATGCTTGTCTATATACCGTACACCCATGCTTCAGCCAAAATTTTTTCTGCACAATATCTAAGATCTAAATACTAACCTAGCCCAAAAATTTGCAATTGAATGTTTGAAGCTGCAGAATATAAAAGATTATGCAATTGATGCCGCATAAAAAAGATTTGCAAAAAATATTCCATCACAGAAACTCATATAGTTGAGCTCTTGACTTCTCTTTCATCACATACCTCTTCCGATCGAGGTCTAATGGAAGGAGCATTGGAGCAGCTATTTTGATATATCTATTGCACGATTTGATGCATTGTAGCTGCAATTTGCAGGCAAAGCTCCTCCGTGCCGCCAGAATCCAGCTAGCCTAGGGTAGAAGGTTAGCCGGCATTGTCGTCTCCTCCGTTCGAATCCCTGTTGTCCATGGCGGAAGAAGGGTCAAAACCCTAGTCGCTAGAATCGAAGATATGGTGTAGCTTCCGATAAGAAAAACGTATAGAGCACATGAGATCGAAGCTGGCGTAGATCTCGATAAGAGGGAAGGGATTACCTTTTTGGAGAAGCTAATACTCTGGCGAAGAAGCGTACATACGCTGGCTGGAATTTTTTTCTTTTTACTCAGCATATAGTTCACCAATAATAGGGACAGCAGCAGTAATAGGCCTCAACCCACATTTTTAACCCAGCCCATTAAACAATAACCCGGCCCAAAAAAATTGGGCGGGAATACTGTTCATTTATGGCTCCTATCATTGTATATATATAGATATAGATATAGATATAGATATTGATATAGATATAGATAATAGATATGAGAGAATTTAGAAAAGACAAATTATATGGCAGGTTGATGGTCCACGATGGACCTACACATAAGAAAAATAAGCAAATCTTAACTATCTTGATGAGTATTTACTTTAATTAAAAAATTAATTTTTTTAAGTGAGAAGATGAACAAAAATAATACGGAGTATGCATTTAAGGCGCACCATATAAGCATTTTTTACAAAAAAAAACTATTTAAACAACATTCTCTCATCATTGAAATTAGCTTAAAAAATAAAGGATGGATACGAGTACTGAATATATATTTTTTGAATTGAGACTCACGAGTGGGCTTAGATGTGTGTGTGACCATTGCGAGAAATAAAATTATACGGAGTATAAGAGTATTTTATTTTATCATATATAAAATCGATTAAAAACTTGAAATAATAAATGTGATAATGTTTTTGGAAGAAATTATCAATCTAGGGCATAGTTAGTTACATACGGCTGACGTATAATACATTAATACATATGTTCGTGTGCAATACGTTACGATTTTATAAAATACGGCTTACTATCCATATTAAATGTTCAACATACAGATATGGACACGTACACATTTTAAATATTTTCAGTTTTTAAAATATCTCTTATCGTATGTTTATATATATATTATCATATATGAATTTTACACATATTTATCGATTCATAGTCACCAATTTATATTAGGGCAAATAAACAAAATATGAAATATTTTAAATAAAATATTTATAGTAGATTTTTCAAATTAGAATCTCTATTTATTTCAAATACTTATTTGAAAAAAATATACTCCCTTCATTAAGAAAAATATCTTTATTTGACTTTCACGTACATATTTTAAAAACGTTTAAAATAAAAATTCTATAGCTTGAAGGGATTTAGGAAAAATAAATAAAATTTGTGAGTCACTCATTCCTTTCTAAAAAGAAATTGAATTTTTCGAGACAAACAACAAGTGAAAGAGTAAAATCTTTTTTTAAACTTGACATAATTTTTTTCTATTGAATGCAGATAGTATTTTTTATTTCAAATTAGACCTGTGCAAACAAGGGTCGGCCCGTCCGGCCCGCCCAGCCCGCCCTTTAAAATGGGCGGATATGAACAATTTTTAATACTCACATGGGCGGGCCAGCCCAAGCTTGAATTGTATTTGGGCGGATCTAAAAATTACTTTTAGCCCATCCGGGCTAACAGGCTCGCCCATATTCATTAAATACATTTACTTTATTATTTATTATCTAGATAATATAAATTTTAAAATTTTCTTTAAATCATATATAATAATGTAGTTTATATCACTCACCCCTCTTAAACAAAAATCAATAGTCTTCTACACCATGTTTGGTTCAAGGAATTTGAAAGGGAAAAGAAAAGAAAACGAAGTGAAAAAATATTTTTCTTCTTTGGTTAGAGGGAAAAAGAAAGGAAAAGTGGAAGAAAAAGAAAATGAGAAGACAAAATTTACCAAGTGGAGAGACAACCAAATTCCTTCCATTTTGGTGAGGAAAATGAGAGAAAACCATTTTCTTTTCTTTTACTTCCAAATTCCTTGAACCAAACATAGTGTTAATGAATATGTATGATGGATTTATTAATTATGTAACAATATTTCTATTATATTTTCTATGTAAATGTGGCGAGTGGTAATTTTATTTTAAACATTTAAAAACAAGTTCAAGATTTTCTTTTTGATTTTTTTGTGTAAAAAAGATTTTCTTGATGTTTTATTCGGGCCGAGCAGCCATGTGGCATTTCGGCCCGCTAAGGTGGGCTGGTATGGGTAAAGAGTTTAGCCCATCAAATCTGGGCCCGGCCAAGCCTGCCCATGCAAATGAGCTAATAATTTGTATCAAGGCCGGCCCAGATCCGGCCCGTATCCTTATTTGCATAGGTCTATTTCAAATTGATTAATTTTGTAATTAATATTTAATATTAATTAAATAAAAGCAATTTTATGGTTCTAATTGTAAATACTCCCTCCGTCCCAATTTAAATCGCTCATTTTGACTTTTGGGCATATTTAAGGAAAATAAAAAATAAAGTTGATTTTTTGAAATTGACATTACTTTTTAGGAGGGGTGATGATGAATGAAAAGATAAGGTGAAGAAGAGTGACTTATTTTAGGGGTAGTTTAGGTATTTTATTTTTAAAAGTTTACGAAAACAACTAACAGGCAACTTATTTTGGGACGGAGAAAAAAGGCAAATAGGCGATTTAAATTGGGACGGAGGGAGTATAAAACTCCATATTAATATTGTGATAATAATTAAGTATTGTATATATAATCGATATAAAGTATTACTCGTATTTTGTTTAAATTTTTTTGTAAAAAATTAATATTGGTTGTTATATACTCCCTCCGTCCGGAAATATTCTTCCCATTTTCCTTTTTAGTCCGTCCGGAAATATTCTTTCCATTTCCTTTTTTAGTATGCTTTTTAAGGCTAAATATCAATTATACCCTTCTATTTTATCACAAATCTACTTTTTAAATACTTTTTTAATAATAAAAGGAGATTTAAAAGTTTATGGTAAGTGCATTTTTGAAAATTTTGTATTTTTTTTATTATTCCTTAATAAGCGTGCCAAGTCAACACGGGAAGAACATTTCCGGACGGAGGGAGTAAAAAATTTTATAATTAAATATTCAATTCATACGTACTATACGTAATTATATATATAATATCAAATGTATGTGTAATTTAAAATATTGTTGAAATTGTATAGATATCTAAATATAATACGTGTATTATACGTACGTAAGTATAATAGATGTATTATATGCGTATCAACCCACTAGACCGAGGCTTATTTGATATTGGGCCAGAAATCAGAGGGTTTTTGTTTAGTATTCTCCCTGGTCGGGCCGGGTCGAACGAAACGGTTTTAAAGAAGGTAGAGCCCCATCGCCAGGAAAACCTCAGTGACCGAGCTTTCAGCAGTCACCGCCCGTCACTCTCTCTTAAGGCCGATTCCACCGGCAATCTCTTTCGATCTTTAGAGGAATGGCAATCGATATTTCCGGCGATCGCCAGTACGGTCAGGACGTTCGAACACAAAATGGTAAAATTGCATCTCCAGTGTTCATGTGTACCGAGATTTCGACTGTATGTTTCTGAAATTAGTTTGTTGTTTTGCTTCTGGAATTGGTAGTTGTGGCATGTGTAGCAGTGGCAAACATCGTTAAGTCCTCACTTGGTCCGGTTGGGCTCGACAAGGTTTGCTTCGCTCTCCTTCATTGAACCTACGAACATTTGCAATTTGTTTTGTGCATTGGAACTGTCAAGTTTTCAACACAGTTAATACAGAGTCCTTCGAGCTTTAAGGAGTAATGGGTTGCCTCCAGATTGCCAATTGTGTCCTTTGACTCTGCTTGATTTCAATTTGAAGCTTTCTTGGATCTATTTATTTTGAATGTTTTTTTTTGCTGTAGTTGAAGGCCATTCCCTATGTAAGCTGACTTAGTGGTGTTTGTTTGTTTTCACACACCAGATGCTTGTTGATGATATTGGGGATGTAACCATCACAAACGACGGTGCTACAATTCTGAAGATGCTAGAAGTTGAGCACCCAGCAGCTAAGGTCTCCATATGAAATCATATACGGAGTATCTTTATCTGTAGGATAAGCTTTATTTTCTAAGATCCCTTTTTTAATATTAATATTGTGAAAAATGTAGGTTCTTGTTGAATTGGCTGAACTTCAAGATCGGGAAGTTGGCGATGGAACTACTTCTGTAGTCATCATAGCTGCAGAGTTGCTCAAGGTGTTGTGTTAAAGCACTTAATGTTTCAGGGGAATTTATTTGACTACATTGATGCAGTTATAATTTTATGGCTGAGCATCTGATTTTTGTTTCCACAGAGAGCAAATGACTTGGTGAAGAACAAAATTCATCCCACTTCGATAATCAGTGGCTACAGAGTGCGTATAACTTCTAGTATCATTTTTCGCATACAATCCAACATGTCAATTTAAGACATTGGTGTCCCGCACTATTGACAAATTCCTGATTTTTATGTTTCATTTTGATTGATTATCTACTTGTCAGCTTGCAATGAGAGAAGCTTGTAAGTATGTTGATGATAAACTGGCTGTGAAGGTAACACCCTTTGGTCAATGCTTGTTACAATATTTTGTCTTGTACTCATGCTCGCATTGTTCTTACTTTTTAGAATCCAAGTAATCAAACTACTTGCTATTAGAAATTAAAGCCTCCATATTTCATTTCTTAAAGTTTCAAACTAATCAAACTTATTTCTTTTCTTCATTAAATATTCAAAAGGTAATCTCTGTGATTTATTATTGGGTAATTTAAACAAAATATTCATTGATCAGCCAACATGGGAAGTTTCTATTGACATCAATCTTACAGTGCTTGTTAAAACTTAAACGTGGTACACTTTACCTCGTCATGGGTACTAGTTCTTATACATTAAGTTTGAAAAACTCAAAATTTGTACTTTTATTCTTCTAACAAGATTTGTTGACCATCTTAGGTTGAAAAACTTGGGAAGGATTCCCTCTTAAACTGTGCCAAGACAAGCATGTCATCAAAGTTGATAGCTGGTGATAGTGATTTCTTTGCTAACCTGGTATGATGTTCTAATTACTTGTGGAACCCTGTATAGAATTATAATCTGCAGATACATTTTATGCAGATACATTTTGGAAACATCCGAATATCTGTCTTTTTTTGTTGCTAAAATGAACTTCAAATCCTTATCTTCCTACATGTATTTCCTTTCAGACACAATTTGTATGAATCATACAACAAGACTCTTTTTTCAAAGAGTATATGATGTTATCCAGGAATTTTGTCCATGAGTGTCCTATGTGACACCACACTATATGAGTAACAGCGACTAAACAACTCCTAACATGACACCACACAATATGAGTAACAACGGCTAAACAACTCCTAACATGACACCACACAATATGAGTTGGTCAAGATGTATATAACCTTAATCATGTTAAAGACTAGAGGCTGTTTCTGTTTTACCCTTAATGCATTTACTTCCTAAACCCTTAGAAAGTAAGATGCGAGTAAAATGAAATGTGCCAATTTGATTTAGTCCATTATTTATGTGAAGCCGAAGCTATGTAAAAAATGATTTCTTTAGCTCCACTGGCAATGTATGAATCTTTCCCATTATGTACGTTTTCTATATTCTATCAAATTTACTATTTTATGAACTTGTATAGGTTTATGCATATATGATCAAAAGTGTGGTATAACTGTATAACTTCATAAGGTTTGTACATCAGATGGTATTGCAATCAAAGTGCAGTATAAGATCTTTTATTAGATGGTTTGGTGGTTTTACATTTACACATGAAAAGGTGTACCCTAGATAAATAACCCATTATGTTTTTATCTTAGGTTGTCGAAGCAGTACTATCAGTTAAGATGACAAATGCTCGTGGAGAAACTAAGTATCCCATCAAGGTTAGTTCGTTTTAAAGACTATGTCTTCGCTATATAGAGGTTTTTTAACTCCCCAATCTGCAATCTTGCGGTTGACACTTAATTAGCAATTTTTGCTTTTAGATGCCCATCTTTTAAACTATAATCTTAAGCACTTGGTTTTCACAGGGTATTAATATACTTAAAGCCCATGGAAAAAGTGCAAGAGATAGCTTTCTTTTGAAAGGGTATGCTTTGAATACTGGAAGGGCTGCACAAGGGATGCCACTACGAGTTTCTCCTGCACGCATTGCTTGCCTTGACTTCAATCTTCAGAAGACAAAAATGCAGTTGGGGGTTCAAGTTTTAGTTACAGACCCTAGGGAGCTTGAGAAGATTCGACAAAGGTGATCCCTTTTACTACATGTTTGAGGTTAAGCTGATACTAATTCTATTTAGCAATGCATAGGTATTCCTCAATAGCCAAACATTTTTATCCATATAATAAGTACGCTATGCTGATGATTCTATAATTTTGTTTTTGCTTCTGAGTTGGACACATTATGATCTCACAATGGCCACGTAACTTTATCCAGTTTGGGGTTTTAAAGCACAATTTTGGCTGTTCGTCAGTGTCAATTTTATCCTTCTTCATTGAGTTCTCTTTAATACAGTGCTAAGTCAGCATTAATGTTATATAGATGACACTGTCCAAAGTTCTAGGAAGCCAAATATTTCTTAGCTATTATCAGTCCATAAATATTGAATGGACTATGGACAGCTCTAGAAATCGACCATGGATTTGTTTATCTATTTGGTCCAAAAATAGTTCATTAGATGCTATTGCTACATAACTGTAAGTCTCATGTGGTCATGCTACATGTCAAACCTTGTATACATAAGTTAATTTCTTTGTTACAGAGAAGCTGATATGACCAAAGAACGCATTGAGAAGCTTCTTAAAGCTGGAGCAAATGTTATATTGACCTCTAGAGGAATTGACGACATGGCATTGAAGGCAAGATGCTTCATTCATCATTTGATTTAGTTCTTTACTACCTTGAATGCCTTAATGCATATTTTATGTACAGATGCATTTCTGCCTTTTTAATTCCAAGCATATTCCCAAAATCCTAATTTTCCACATCAAGTGTCTTCATCTTAATCCCAACTATGTTGGGGCTGGTAGGTCCATGAAACATATGGTCTCAATCAAGTGTATGAATTTAGTTAACTATGCAGCTTCATAAGTCGACCCGAACTAAGCATACCCGATATGTCGCACGAACATTTAGTAAGATGTAAATAGAACTTATATCTACCGTCAGGGGTATAGAGGCTGTTTCTGTGAAGACCTGAAGACCTAAAGCATGCTTACAGTTTTAATGGGATGTTCATGTTACAACCTTATTACAAAGGAATAATGAGCTGAAATAAAAATCCATTCTTGCATAGTCGTCCACTCGCATGGATAACCCACAATTCCAAATACACATTTGAGAACTTGACTAATGTTCACTAATAATATGTGAGCTGATTTGTCATTTAAATTCGTCAGTATTTTGTTGAAGCTGGTGCAATTGCAGTTAGACGTGTTCGGAAAGAAGACTTGCGCCACGTTGCTAAGGCCTCTGGTGCCACGGTGGTACGTTTTAGACTTTTATTCATACACTAACCTTTACTAAACCCTTTGTGATCTCTTGATGGGAAATTATGAATTGGTCTTGGTTTTTTTGTTTTTATTTTGATACCTGATTCATTTTTGTGCTGCAGGTCTCAACTTTTGCAGATATGGAAGGGGAAGAAACTTTTGAATCATCATTCCTTGGTCATGCTGATGAGGTTGTTGAGGAGCGCATTGCTGATGATGATGTTATTTTGATAAAAGGGACAAAAAACACTAGTGCGGTATGCAAGAATTCTTTCCCTTCTGTTGGTTCCCCCATTCAGATGAATCTTTGAATATTCATTTTTTTTAATATGGAAGTTGTGTGTCATAACATTTATCTTTATTTTTCTGTCAGGTTTCATTGATACTTAGAGGAGCAAATGACTATATGCTTGATGAGATGGAGAGGGCGTTGCATGACTCTTTGTGCATTGTCAAAAGAACATTAGAATCAACAACTGTAAGCCCCTTCTTGCGCTCTGAGTTATAATGCTCTTATGTTTGATACATAGTATAAATCAGCATGAACAATTATGAATTGTTCAACTATTTCCATGTGTATATCGCATGGGAGATTTTCTTCCAAAGAATAGCGTTCCTAAACCATGGTGAAAAATATTCCCACCTTCACCTTAGGTATATTGCTTCCTCCCTCATTCCCATCAACCAAGCTTAGGAAATAAAATTGTTCCTCAATCCTTACACCATGTTCTTCCCTCTAAACCTTTCTGCATACCAAATAAGCCATTGCTGTACAAAATTCCTGGGAAATTTGTGAGTGTGGATTTATTTAGCTGGTATCAACGTATATTCTGAATTTACAAGGGAAAATTCTTTCAGGAAATCTAGTTTAGGCAAATAAGTAACCTAGTCAAAAGCTACTAAATCTGCTGAAAAAAACCGAATAAGCAGAAGATACTTTTGCATGCCAAAGTAGGATTGTTTTTCAAGTTTTTTCTAATTTATAATCTGGACTTTGCCAAAGAACTTTTAATTCATTTATTTATGGTTTAAATATGAGTGCAAATGTTTGGTGAGTAACTATTGCTAAACAGGTCGTTGCGGGTGGAGGTGCTGTTGAGTCTGCTTTGTCTGTGTATCTGGAGTACCTTGCAACTACACTTGGTTCTCGGGAGCAGCTTGCTATTGCTGAATTTGCTGAGTCATTGTTGATCATTCCAAAGGTGAAAATAAGTGAAATACTGTAAAATCCTACAAGTATATAATTTCTCTCTGTAGATTTCTAGTTCATCGGCCTGAAGAATATATTCCCCTGGTGCAGGTACTTGCTGTCAATGCTGCAAAGGATTCAACGGAGTTGGTTTCTCAGTTACGTGCGCATCACCATTACGCACAAACCCAGGCTGAGAAGAAACATTGGTCAAGGTAATGCTGTTTCTGCGCTTTAAGGGATGGTCAATTCATGTACTAGAGGGGTTGGGGGTGGAATGTGCCATGACCTTGTCCCCACCCTTGTTTATAGACCTGACCAAATTTGTTTTTTAACTCAAGACCCGACCAAAAAGTACTGGGTTTTGAACTAGGATGTTGTTAACCAAACCCAAAAGGATCCCGCTAAAATGAGTCAAACCCGACTGACCTGATGTAACCGACCCGCTAAGGTAAATTTTTTTTCTTCAAAAACGTGTACTTTAGTATAAAATATTGTGATTAAAATAATGTTATAACTTTATTTTCTTATTACTCTTTATTAGTGTATAAATTTATCTTTTCAAGTGAGTTTTTAATGATATTGTTATGTTATCTTACTTCTTTTTTAAAGTACATAATTAATTTTTTTTAGATTTTTTTGAACACTAATAACTTAATTATAATGGAATATCTGCTCATATATTCTCAACTTATTAAGCATGTAGAGTTATTGCCCCACCGGGGATCAAACCTGTGCCTCTCATATGGGAGTCACAATCATGTTGCTGGGCCACCAATTTTTTTTAGATTATTTAGTACTCCGTAGTCCGTATAATATTGTTGTATATATCAAAAAACTAATTAATTTTTTTAAAGAAAATATTGTAAAAGCTTCAGTATATTTAGTGCTTTATTAATGAGACAACGATCCCTTTAAATGTACTCTATGTTAAAATTGATTCTTAAGACTAAATAGACACTGGCTTGACTATGTTATTGCAGCATGGGACTAGACCTATTGAAGGGAACGATACGTGACAACTTGGAAGCTGGAGTAATCGAGCCTGCAATGAGCAAAGTGAAGATACTTCAAGTAAAGCACTCAATAATAAAAATTTTAAATAACAAATATTTATATCATTATCATACACATAATAATTTGTGCTTTCTGTTGATATTTGAGATAATATTTGTTTATATGAATTTGATCCCAGTTTGCGACTGAAGCGGCGATTACGATACTTCGAATTGATGACATGATAAAGTTGGTCAAAGACGAAAGTCAGAACGAGGATTAGAAGAAAATGAACTGAACTCTCTACCTTTTTCACACTTTTTTGATGGAGTAAGTTTTTTCATGAGAAGATGTGTGGTGTGTTGTTGCATTTGAGCCTGTGAAATGTTTTTGTAGTGTGGTTTGTGTAATAGACTTAGTTCACTTTGTGAAGGGCAATCCCCTCTGATTTGTAAGCCTTAGTGCCTATAAGATGATAAAATACTTTCAGATTTAAAAGTTGTTGCTACGGTTTGTTCAAGTTTTGTCCTGACCAATCTTGACCGCTAGGTCTTGACCGAACCCACACTAAGTAGATTTAGTGTTGGTCTTCGATAAAAAACAATTGACATTCCAATTTTGATCTGGTCCCAAACTTGAAATATTTTTGGTTTGGCACTAATTGATCAATTCAACTTGAAAGACCAAAAGAATATATGTATATCTCTATTTTTTATGTTCGTAATTAAATGCTCCCTCTTGTCTAAAACTTTTTTTGTTTAAGTTCAAGAGATTTGACTTGAGCTTTTTATATTCAATTTTTATTATTATGTGTAAAGTTTAAAAAGAAGATTTATATATTAAAGAGTTATATCAAAAGTTATACTTGCAAAACAAGAAATGGAATGACTATTGTTTATCAAATTACAAATGAAGATAGGCTATACTTTGATCATTAACATTGTTATTTACTCCCTCCGTCCTAATTTAAATCGTCTGTTTTGACTTTTGGACATATTTAAGGAAAATAAAAAATAGAGTTGATTTTATGAAATTGTCATTACTTTTTAGAGAAGGGGTGATGATGAATGAGAAGATAAGGTAAAAAAGAGTGACTCATTTTAGGGGTAGTTTAGGTATTTTATTTTTAAAAGTTTACGAAAATAACTAACAGGCAACTTATTTTGGGACGGAGAAAAAAGGCAAACAGACAATTTAAAATGGGACGGAGGGAGTATGTTTTAAAACTAAATTTCGAAATAAATTCATTAATATTAAAATTATATCACATTTTTATGTAGTTTTTCGTAATTTGTGATTAACATTTAAAAATGTTGATCACAAAATTCGAAATGGATTGAAAGATATGAGATGGAGTAAATAAAAAATAAAAAGTGAAATGATTATTGTTTCATCAATTTTTTTGATGATAAAAACTGAATTAACTCAACATAAATATCAAAGTTTGGGGGAACAGAATCTCAAATACCGCAATGGGAATTTGCACGTCTAGCTAAAATATGAGCAACACCATTCAATTCACGATAAATATGATAAGTACAAACCGAACAGAGAAAAAAAGTATGAGCGAGCCACAACCTTTAATAATCGAACCAAAATATGAGCGACCAATACTAGCTTGCCTAATGGCGTTCCCCACCACTAGACTATCTGAGAAAAGATCCACCTCCAAGCAACCCTCGCTCTTCAACCAAGATAATGCTTTTTGTACCGTAACCACTTCTGCTACTTACAGGTTTGAAACATAAGGTAGAATACAATTAGTAGCCTTTAAAAACATACGTAATGCATCCTGTAGAACAATGCCAAATCTCATTTCCCCAGATTGGGGGAAAAAAGCAGTATCGACAAAGCAACTCCTTGAAGATCTCAAAGGAAATTGCACCGATCTAGGGATAGCCGAATGGTGACAGTTGGTAATGAAACCCTAGACTCCCACATTGCTGCATTACGAACTTTCTGTAGCGCCCACACCACATATGCCGCGGTTTGAAGTTCATCCAAAGATAAGAATCAAAAGGTTGCTGAAATGAAGCAACCTCATGTACCGAGTAGTGCACTCCAATCCCATTCTAAATAAGTAGAAAGTGAATAAAATTTGACATGAATTTGTAGGACAATTCGTAGTGGTAGTCCATCCCTCCGTTCAAAATTCAATACTTTTGGTTTACAGAAAATGTTTGAACGGCCTTGTTACTCCATTAAAAGAAGATTGAACATTTTACAATACTCCTTTAGTATTTCCACTTTCTCGACGTTTGTCTCTGTTCTGAATATCTCCAAATTGTTAGGGCAATTCCGAGAGGGGACTACCCTTCTTGTCCATCATACTTCGGTTCACTGATTATATACACATTTGTAAAAGAAAAATTAAGTCTTTAAAATAAACTGAAAATTATACAGAGCAAGTACTATTACTCTGTATGAGCAAATTTTAATAGATCTACACACCATCAATGATCAAACAATAAGTTTTGGAGTCTTACTCCCAAAAGGTGTCGAAATCAATTAAACACACTCTGATATGAAAACGAATGCCAAACAAACGAAGCTCTCCCAACTTAGACTATGCTTGGTTTGAGTAAAAGAAATTCCCAAATTCATACTATTGTTTGGTTACACTTAAGAACTCAGAAATCCAATTACTTTGGTCTAAAGTGTTGCCAAGAAGGTGTAACACAAGTTTCAATCAATACAAGAAACACAACAAACACAAAAAAGATATCTATAAAGAGAGAGATGTTTCCATTAGAGCCTCTCTTAGGCTTAAGCTTCTCGGCGCACAAAGTACAACTTCCCCATGACATGAAGAACAGCGACAAACGCTATGAAGCCAATGCTCATGATGAGCACAACATTGGGAGATATCTTCAACCCCGGGGCATCATCCGTGTAGAACTGGAGCATAGTACCACCAGCACCGCCAGTGGCACCGCCACCGCCTCCACCTGAGGTCCTCCTTCGGCGCATGTTCGCAGCTGCAGCTGCAGCAGTTCCTCTTTGTGGAGCGGCTCCCAATGCCATTTCTATACCCACACAGTTTTATCAAAGTTAGAACAACATTGGGCTTTTAAAATATCAGAAAATGTTTTCATGATATGAGCAGATATATCAGAAAATGTTTTTATGAATAAAGACTTAACAGGGTTTTTTTGTTTGTTCGTGGGAAAATGAGTCAAATAAACACTTTTCAGAGCCAACTAAAAGCTCATAAACCAAAAACTTAAACCCAACCGTTTTTTTCTTTTGGTCAGCCTTTTCATCAACTTTCCTAATGATTTGCAATTCAGTGTTTAGGTCTAATGATGTCTTTTAGTCACATATAAAACACTTCAACATTTTCACATTGGTAATGGAGGTAATAGAGTAATCACTGATAATGTTTTAACTTCAGGGATGTAATGGACTATATAAAAAAGGCACATTATATACTGTGTTGTTTTCGTTGTTGAAAACACTCACCAAGCACATTCATTAAGAGTATGTTTCGTTCAAGGAATTTGGAAGAGAAGAAAAGAAAATGGTTTTCCCTCACTTTCCTCACCAAAATGTAAGAAATTTGGTTTTTGCTCTCCTTAGACTTTTTTGCATTCTCATTTTCTTTTCCACTTTTCTTTTCTTTTTCTCTCTAACCAAACAAGAAAAATGTTTTCTTTCTCATTTTCTTTTCATTTCCTTCTCAAATTCCCTGAACCAAACATAGTGTAAGCAAAAAAATTTAATTGAATTCAAAAAAAGTGCTAATTTTTACTTGAATACTCTGTACTAAATTCTTGATCCCACAAAAGCAAAAGGCTAATTTCTTGCAAACATTTGCACAATAAATTAATAATGCAAATTTGCTTTGCCAATTTTCTAGAAAAGACTAAAGAACAGTAACAATAATAAGGATTGCCAAAGCATGTGCTAGATTTTTTATAATTTACTTGTTATTTTCAATTTGTTATTCCTATTTACAGCAAATACGCATCTAACTATAACAATACGAAAACTTTATGAAACTTATCCACACCAAATGACGAAATTGAAGAACAGAACAATGCAAAAATAAGATCTGCAGGTCTGGGTTTCATGTGAATCCTCAGAAACACACGGTAACAGAACAGATCTGAAGCGCGATGTTTCAGATCTGGATTTTTTCCCCACAGATCAAACAATTCACCAATGATTTACAAAACAAAAACATGTAAGAATGTGTTTCTTAAATTCTGCAGATAGTAGAAACAGAATTTGATTTTATTTTTTTTCGATTGAGAGGAATTGAAAAGGGTGAAAATGGAAGAATACCTCTGTAATTCGGATTTGGATGTTGAAGACCACGGTGATTCGGCGAAGAGTCGATCGGGAAGCCGGAGTCTAAGAGGAAGAAGAAGGTTATATACTCTTTGTGGATGTCTAGTTGGATTTCGACACACAGCATTTACCAATCATCTCTTGCCACGTCACCTTAAAACTATTATTTCTCGCCACGTTGTCTAAAGACCTGACTTTTAATGACTTCACCAAGAAATTTCTACAAATTGATTGTTATTTATCAAAATTTGTAAGCTTTGATTTTAAAATATAGAAAAAATATATTGTGTTTTAATATAAATAATTTCCTTATAAAGTATGATTTCAATTATTAAATTTCATAAGATATATTTATATACAAATGTAAATATTAATGACCAAATTGTCACTCGTACATTGGAGAACATGAAAAAAGAATATATTAGCTTATTTTCAGAGGAAGGGAATACTTACTATTTATCTCCACTTTAACTATACATGTATATGATACGATGAACCTAACACATACGGAGTACAAAAATTTACTAATTTTTAAAAATACATTGTACTACCTCTACCTACAAAAAGATGTTTTTTACTTTTAGAGGTACCCCTACTTTGATTATTATAACAAACAAATGCCTCATCTTTAAATTACAACAAAAAACTATCACAACTTTAAAAAATGTAACAAAGGAGTTTTCCTTGACTGAATTTTGAGAATCCAGCTAATGAATACAATGTGACGTTCTGTTTAGCTTCCTAGTGTATATACTTTCAAATTAACTTCTAATTTACCCAATACTTAATTAACTTTGTATTTGACACATATAGAGTCAATTTTTTTAAAAAAAATCAAACTTTTATTTTATTTATACAATTTAGTTTTTTTCTTCTAATGAAAATATATTTTACGGAGTACATTTTAATTTTATTTAACTCCGTGCTATTGATAATATTTTTATTTTTATTTTAGAATTTTGAAAAATTTATAATTTACAATAGACTTCATATTTTAAACATAAGTAGGAATAACATTTTAATGATTGTCTTTTATGTAATTTTAAAGATTTATTTGGAATATTTAAAATTTAAATTTAAACAAATACGTATTTTTATTATTATTTACTCTATTATTTATATTTAAATAATACGCCATTATTTTTTATTAAGTATTATTGATACACGTAATGAGTTGCTATAAGTCATCTAAGTACTTTTTTAAAAGAGACATTCATGCAACATCGTGTTTACTTATCTATTTAAATTATAACTTCAAAAGATGGTAAGTATTTTAAATTTAAATAAATAAGAAACTTTCCTCTTTAAGTTACAATATAGACAATTATTTAAAAAGTACTCCATAATTGCTAGTTTGGTTTAAAATATTTTGTAAATTAAAAAAAAATTCAAAATACTAAAATAAAAAAAAAAGCTTCTAGCTGGAAAGCATGGGGTTAAAATCAAAAATAGAATTTGAAATCTACCATTAAAAAAAGAAAAAAATGATATTGTATAAGTAAAATATAATTTTAAAAAACTAAAATTTGACTTTATATTGTGTAAAGGGACAATGTTCTAATGACATTAACCCCTAATGTCATCCTATGGCACGAGCTCCGTTTGAGGTCCCTACGGTGCTCTGTTTGAAAAATTGATTGTTCCTACCCCCTCTAACCCCCCCGGTAAACCCCCCCCCCCCCCAACTCGGCCCGACCCGAACCAACCCCTCCTCTCCCGTCAATTGCACCCCACAAGATGTAGTTGACTTTGGAGTCAAAATTTGACTTCAAAGTCAATTACATCTTGTGGGGTGCAATTGACGGGAGAGAAGGGGTTGGTTCGGGTCGGGCCGAGTTGGGGGGGTTTACCGGGGGGTTAGAGGGGATAGGAACAATCAATTTTTCAAACAGAGCACCGTAGGAACCTCGGGTCATCCTATGACATTAATTTCCAATGTCATGAAAACCGTGGTGATGTGTAAAATGCAAAGTTAATCATGCAGAGAACAAGTTACAAGTTAATTTGGAAGCCATGTAGAATGCGACATGTACATTAGGAAGCCAAGTGGAAGGCCACGTGTGCTCTCACTAGTCAGATTCTCAAAATTCTGTAAAGGGGTACTCCTTTTTAAATTTTTTAAAGATGAGATGTTTTTTGTTACAAGTTAAAGATGTGAAACCTTTTTGTTACAATGTTATCTGTAGTCTTTTTTTATTTTCTATCATGTTAGTGTTAATTTATTACTAAAAATATAATTTTACAATGATAATATATCTTTCTTGTCATATATAATTCTAAAGGCAGCTCTTGATGCGTCATTTGTAAATTAGAATCGCTTTCTACTACAATCATAGACTACTAATATGATTTTTCATCGAAATCCCAGTCCACAATCATGGTCATTACTTTTGTGTTATTCATCTAACCAATACCATAATACATCACTAGACATAAGGTTGATGTCAAATTATCATTTTAGCCTTTAAACTAATACCAACATGGCAGAGGATTATAAAAAGACCATTTGTGAAAAGACACTCATAAAAGGACTACGGAAATAAAATTTGATAATAGAAGACTAAATATGAAAATTCTTTTGTTATAAAGGACCAATTATGCAAGTATTCAAATCATTACTACTTGGATAGTAGCAAGGCCCAAGAGAGTGCCCTCTAATGTTATCTCTCAAGTCTCAACTTTACTGTTATTGAGTGCCCAAACAAAAAATTGTGTAAAATGCAAGTGTATTTATTCATTGTTTCAATACAGGTATTCCACTGTGTAAATTATACTCCCTATATGGAAGAATAGGAAATAACTGCTAAAATACTCCCTTTTGCAAAACTCTTCCGCCCTAATTTTTTTGTGTATCCCATAAAGTACTTCTATCCTACCTAAAATGTCTGAAATACCCCCAAAACAACTTCTACCCACAATAAACTGCGTTATGGGGTGCACTTCAGACACTTTAGGTGGGGTAAAAGTGTTTCACCTGGTGCGCAAAAAATTAGGCCGGGAGAGTTTTGTGAAACGGGAGTAGTACATTAGGAGTCAAAAACAACTGTGATTTGGTACAAATGCTAACTCATATACAGCCAGCTGACTAAAAATGCAATGATCCAAGATGGAAGAGCAGCAGAACAAAGACTTAGAAATGGGTTTCACGAAATCTATTTCAGCCAAACAAGTCAAAGCCTACCGTGTGTTCCGATTAATGCTGCCAAACAGAGCTTTAGAACAGCAGCAGCTAAATTCAATTCTGTCAGAGCTTTACTTCCACCGGAAAGACCTCCCGCCTTTCTGTCCCACACCGGTCCCTTCAAGACCAGAAGAGAGGAGTGACTTAGAATCTGGTCGCCACTTCAACTCTTTCAGAACAGAAAATAGTGTTGCTAGGGCTGGTGTTATTTCACTATCTTTAATGTTTTTACAGGAAACCACTCTAAGGCTCTGAAGTTCCCTCCAAGATTCTATGACTGAATCTAATCCTTCTGTTGTGAGTAGCGAGCATCCAACTAAAGAGAGGGCTTTTAAACTCCTACAATGAGAAACATAACGCCTCATAAAGTCATAGAAGTAGTTACTGAAAGAAGACAACATATTTATGGAACAACAAATATTTGTAACTTGTTTTTGGGAACAATTTTTCTGCAGTCTTTACCTCTAAGCAGGGGAAAAAGATAAAATATTAGCAAGAAAGGTTGACAGATTAAATGGCCAAGGGTTAGGACGCATAGGCTCTGCTTGTTTCCAGGAAAATAAACTGTTGCTTGTGAAAATGGTTTCAGATAAAACTTCCAGGAAACCAATTTAAGTGGATAATATTTTTCTAGAAATAAGTTCTTTTATGTATTGAAAGAATGTTAACAAAAATAGAAAACAAAAAAAACTGTTACCCGAGAATGACTTACCCATTTGACAATGTCTTAAGGAATCAATGAAAGCATTTACAGGTGAGAAAAACTTAATTCAGAAAATGCTTTCCAGAGCCAAACACTGGGAAAACAAAAACACATTTTCCCGGAACATGTTTTCTTGTAAACAAATGAAGCCTAAGCCATTTTACTTTGTTTAAAGTTCTCTTTCATGATGATAGATCTAATAATTGCAAATTCATCATACAGCTATATCTAACTTCATAATATTGTATACACATTTCATAAAAGGAAAAATTCATACTCCCTAACGAGTTAAACGACATAATTAACAGTTATAGATGTCTATATCATGCAGCAAATACTTCACACAGCAATTCACAAGATAGAGAAGTATCATTCATACCGCAGTACAGAGGAAGAGGAAAATGCATTGTTGTCCAGTCCCCAACAATCCTCAATTGTAAGTTCTCTCACGGGTGTGCACACTATAAACAACGCTCTAAGACTCTGCTGATCTCGTAAATGACAACACTGCAAATGCAACTCTTCAAGAGAAAGACAATATCCCAAATGTTCATCGGGGCCCGGACTTAAATCAACAGTTTTACATGACCGAAGCTTCAAAGTTTTCAGATTTTGACAATATGACAACGCCGACAACCACCCACCATCCATCCTATGATCACAAAGCATGAACTCCTCCAGCATATGACAACATTGTCCTATAGCTTTGATCCCATCATAGCTTCCCTCACATCCAACCAAATCAAGCTTCACAAGACGCCTGCAAGACTGAGCAAGAATGGTCAAACCTATATCAGAGACCATAGAGCTGTAAAACCCGTCTAAATTTCCAACCAACTTTAGTATCTGCAGATTTTTACACCCAGAAATCCCTTTCAGAGAGAAATCCTCGCAGCAATGCAATTCTAGTTCCTGCACTGTCTCACAGTTATCAGCCACGAATTTCAACCCATCTTCGCTCGTGTTGATCATAACAATCCTCCTTAGATTGGAACAACCCTCTACAAGAATCTTAACTCCTCCATCAACAACTTGTGATTCCAAAATATCATCTTTTCTCACAAACCCACAATCTATAGAGCTTGAGTCTAAGTGAACTGATAGTAGCCTGTGTGAGATCATAATAGAGGAATTCCTCTTCCATTTCACGCAGGATCGAACAATGTCAATGTCAATCAGGTTAGGAAACCTGTAAACGAGCCTACCCGATTCCAGAAATTCCCAATCCAACAGCTTAATTGACTGAACCAGTTTGCCACTTAGCTTACACCACCGCTTACATACCAAAGAATTTGAAATGTGATGAGACCCAGGAAGCTTCGAAAGCACATTCAACAGCAGTGCGTCCGAAATGAGAGAAGTATAATCTGGGTTGGGGCAATGCCGGGTCGGATCCAACTCTTCTGAGCCACCAAGTGTCTGAGCATCCAAGTCAGGCTCGGAAGGCGGAGTTGTGGAATTGGACTGGCTCTGCAGGCGCAATTTCATAACCACATTCCTGAGAGCTTGTTGAGCGTCCCCTTTGTTCGCCCAGAGCTGGCCGTCCGACCAGTTCGACGGTGCCTGCCGTCTCTTCACCTGCTGCTGCGGCGGCGGGTTAATTTGGTTAGGGTTTAGGCCTGCGCCGTCTTCTTCTTCAGGAGGATACATTTGCGGCTTTCCCTTCGAGTCAACCTTTGGCCTGATGTTAGGGTTTCCGCAAGTCTCCAACTTTCTCCTCGATTACCACGCCAGCTCTTCAACATCGCCTGCACCTTGGAATGTTAAAAATTCCCAATTCTCACTTTCCGATTAGGGTTTGAAAACACAGAGATGACATTTAAGCATAGTGAGAGAGAAAGACAAGAAGAAAATGGCGAATAGTAAAATGACAAGTTTCTCTCTCTCTATAATTGGGGGCAGATAGATGAGCGAAGAGTCCTTTTTCCCCGTACAATTTCTTTGTTGTTACTTGCTTCTAGATGAGCCAACGATTATTAACAACAACGAACAACCCAGTTAAATCCCACAAGAGTAGGGTCTGGGGAGGGTGTGTGTACGCAGACCATGCCCCTACTCGAAAGTAGAGAGGCTGTTTCCAAAGAGACCCCGGCTCAACGTCGAAAGTTGCATTGCTTGACTAACTGCTACTTCATTAATTAAAGAAGCGCAAATAGTTTAGATATCCATTTTGATTTATTCCATCACACCCCAAAGCCAAAAACAAGTGAAATTTTGGCTCCATCGGAGATGATGGAAAACCAACGATTATTAAGAATAATTAAATTAAACTTTAATCACAGATTAATAATAAGAAGTAGACCATGCATCTGATATTTTTAGAAGTTTTATATTTAGCACAATTGTCTCCCAATAGAGTTGCTGAAAATCGAAGTCGAGTCTACCCCTTGGGGCATTCCTGTTTTTGCCAACTGCACAATGTCCACCGACTTGTTATTTGCTTCTATAATCTCCTGCTTGTAGAAAAAAAAAGAAGAAAAAGAATCAGCAATGGAGCCTTGAATTTTTTTTCAAAAAAATGTGAAAAAATCAAATTGAAAAATATAGCTAACTCTTGATTTGTATCAAATTGAATAGTTACTACGATATTTTGGAATAGTACAAAATAATTTCTCATACTTCTCGTTATAATCTTTTTATACTTCATATTTCTTCGATAGTACTGAGTAATAAGTCCTAATAACTAATAAATTTATTTTGATATTTTAATTACTTTTATCATAAATACTTGTATATATTCTAATTCTATTCGAGCTTTAATTTTCTTGTAGACCAGCTAAAAAATACTAAGAAAAATTTTAAATAGTATTTTGTTTTTATTCATTCTTTTTAGGTTGTAAAAAAGTTTGCTTGTGCAAACTGAAATGAAACAAGTTTTACAACTTTGGAGTTTTAAAGGGCAAGGTTCCCATGACATTGGGAACCAATGTCGTGGGATGACCCGGGGGCGCTCCGGTGTCCCGTTCGTAAAATTGACGGTTCATACCCCCTAACCCCCCGGTAAACCCCCAACCCGGTCCCGACCCAAACACATCCCCCACCCTCTTCAATTGCTCCCCACAAGTTGATTTTGACTTTGGTTCCCAATGTCATGGGAACCTTGGTGAGTTTTAAATCTAAACCTACTTTTATTGGTGTCAAAAAATTATAAAACCTAAAAAAACACAATAAAATGTCAATTTATTAGTTTATTGCTAATTTCTCATCAATATTTTGGATCTTTCAAATTGCTGGCCTCGGACAATCTCACGCTGTCACGCAGATTTGGGATACCATATATCCTACGAAGAGGTGTTATCGTGATTTTAAAATTCATATGTAAAATATACTCTGTATATTTATTTAATACTCCTTCCGTTTGCAAAAAGACTTCTCATTTTGATTTGGAGGCAAAAATAAGGAAGTATTAAATTATAGTTGATTTCCAATTTTGCCCCTGATGTGATGGATAAAAGTAAGATGTGATGGATAGATTACTAGAGAAAAAGTATGATGTGATAGGTGGGGTATGAAAAAGTAAGGGTAAAAGTGGTTTTTTAATAGAAAGGGAAAGTGTTTTGTTGGAAGTGGAAAAAATGAAAGAGGAAGTGTTTTTGAGAACGGAGGGAGTATATTTTTCATGAGTTAACAATTGGATCTTGTTCTTTTAACAAGATCTGGTAATACATATAATAATGTTATGAACATAATTACATATCATATTAATTATAGAGAATATGGGGCTAAAGACTATAAAAAATTATCATTTCACAAATTCCTACGTAGTATTATTGCATGGAAAATGCTAGGGTGACACCACATGGGTGCACCCATGGTAGCACCCATGTGGTGGCACCCTAGCATGGTCCTTATTGCATATCATATTAAAACTAGTGGGTGTGGATCATGCCATCACACCATGAGTGACTACCACTCAGTACTATGTTAGTTTCTCTCTTTTTTATCACGTTCTGGGTGTATGAATCACATCTATCACGCTTATTCCTTTTTTATTTTCATCATGGTCCGATGTGGCACCTAACTCTCGACAATGGTAGCCTTCCCTTTTTTACACACACCGTAGTGGCGTTCATAGTCTAATCACAGAGTACTTATTTTTTTAGATGTATAAATAATCTAATTTGATTTATTTCATTTAAATTACATAAACTATAATGTTGTTATGCAACATTCCTTTCCTTTTCACATTTTCTAAAAAAGATAAATTACCATTCCATAATTACATGTGACTCAACTATTAAACATATAGTTATTCAAATATTAACACAGTCACTAAAAGTTCGGGGAGTGTAATTGGGAGAGAATGTGTCGGTTTCATCAATTTTATATGGAGTATCGCATGTACTTGATGCCATATTATGACACGGGACAATTCCTATGACATTGGAACCTCATATCATGAGATGATACGAGCCTACTACATGGTGTCTCATTTGTAAAATAGATAATTCCCACCCCCAATTCCTCGGTAGACTCTCTCACCCCACTCTCACCCTGAACGCATTGCTACATCCTTCAATTGCACCTCAAGAGTTAAATTTTTTTACTCCAAAATCAAATTCAATTGGAGGTGTAATTGAAGGGAGTGATAATGTTTGGGTCGGGGCAGAAGAGTTTACTGGGGGCTAGGAGTGATAGAAATTATCAATTTTATAAACTGATACTGATTCGTGTGCAGTTGTCCAATCACTGTCATGATTCCATTTTTTAATTAAATATTTTATAAAGAGAATTTGGAGAAACAAAATAAACTTTGAAGAAATTATAAAGAGAATTATAATTTTTTTTAAATTTTGTCTACGTAATGTTGTCTACTCCAAAGAGAATATATTTTAATGTTGTCTACGTAATTTTTTTAAAAAACAAAGGATATTTATAATTGAATTCTTTTTTTAAAATATCCAACGACCACGATTTGAAACGTTGGAGGAGGGGGGCAACATATTTGTTGCAGCATCACTGCATCAAACCTTTTACACATGCCATTCGATGCCCGAATGATTAAAGGGGACACTGTGTAACAACCCCCCAGACGTTAAACAGGCCTTAACGCCTGAGTATTTGTCTATTTTTGATTTTTTTCAGTTAAAATTGGTAAACTTTGACTTCAAATTAAATAAAACTGATATTAGATATTGATACAAAATAGTTTTATCACATTTATTATATCAAAGATTTTCAAAATATTATTTTATCTAATTAACATACAATATAAATTTTATTTAATTATAGGAAAAATATTAAAAATAATTGATTGAAAAAATTAAAACTAAACAAATACTCCTTCCGTCCCCCATAGATCTTCCCAATAGCCTTTTTTCTTTGTTCACAATAGATCTTCTCATTTCATTTTTTTACAATTAAAATACGACAACTACCCTTACTTACTTTATTTATTACACCTTACCCACCCCATTTAATACACTCTACCCATTTTCATTAAGGGTATTACAGTAAATTTTCATCTTTTTTCAACTTTCCTTAAAAATCACAAAAAGTCAAAATGAGAACATTTTAGGGGAATAGGGGAATACTTTAAAGTTTAAAGCTAAATAACATTTGTTTTTGAAAAGACCGAAAAAGGGCTGCCCATGAAGAATTTTCTAACACTGGTATGACAATTTAAACGGATTAGTTACTTGAATTAGACGCCATAGACCGGAGAATCAGTTGCATTTCCAATTTTACCCCCTGACGGCCAACGTGGAGACCCCGCAACGCGGCTCAACGTCAACGAATGAAAACCACCGCCACCGGCGGCTATATCTATATATCTTCCTTTACCCTCTCACTCCTCTCACCGGCGGATTCCCCACCGTCCATCTCCGGGAGGAATCCTTAAACCCCAATTCATTTATTCCAAGATTGACAATCCACGCCGGGAAGTCTTCCCAGTTTCCGAGAGCCTGCTTTGAATTCTGTGACCATTTGTTGTCGATTATGTATAGATCTGGAGCTGTAATGGCGTGGAACGTCTTCAAGTTCTGCACCGCCCTGCGCGGGCTGGGCTCGATCATGATCCTGCTGGTCCTCGGCGTCGTCGGCGTAAGCTATTATGCCGTTGTCATCACCAATTACGGGCCAATCCTCGCCGGTGGCGGCAGCGTTTCCGATATCCTCATTGCTCTAATCGTGATCATGCTGTTTCATGGTTTGGTAATTCCCGCACTACTTTTCCCCCACTAGCTGTATTTAGTTAGTCACTTTTGCTCTATCATCCAGCTAAATGAGCCATTGATTGGAGTAAATTCTTAGTCTGTCTCTTGTTCCTTTGTTTATCGGTTAATGTCTTAATGCTAGCAAATTGATAGGGGTTTAGTAGTCGATTGTTGATACTTATAGAGACAATAACTTTAATTTAAGCTGACTTTGTACAATTTATGAAGTGAATCGACCATATCAAATTATTTTCTGTGTTGTAACCTTGATAATCCAAGTTTATCTTACAATGATAATCTGAAATTTGAAATTAAAGAAAGATTATGTATATTTTAATCTATAAGTGCGCTATGAGAAGTGTGGCTGTGGATTTCTGCTGAGGTCTAATGATGAAACTAAAGCTCTTATGCAATTGCAACAGCTGGTTATGCTATTATGGAGTTACTTTTCTGTTGTTTTTACGGATCCTGGTAGTGTGCCTCCAAATTGGAGGTCAGCATCGGACGAAGAAAGCGGAGAGATTGATCCCTTGACTGCAACAGACTTAGGTAACTCTCATGCTGATGATCCGCCACACCCAAGCGTCCGGTTCTGTAGGAAGTGCAACCAGACGAAGCCACCTAGATGCCACCATTGTTCTGTTTGTGAGTTCTTGCAAATTTTCTCAATGTTTATTGTGTTTCCTCAGCAGCCCAATGACAAGTTCGTTCTGATTGTTTACATATCATAGGTGGGCGGTGTGTGTTGAAAATGGATCACCATTGCGTATGGGTTGTGAATTGTGTTGGTGCTTTGAACTACAAGTATTTCCTTCTCTTCCTGGTATGGTCACTACTGTGATTTTTGGTTATAATAGTACTACTGTAGATGGATGCCCACATTTCAATGTATAGGTTTAAGGGTTGTTTACCTGTATAAATTTTGGATATCATAGTTAGAAATATTAATCCAGAGCAGGAAACCCATTTTGTGGGATTTGTCCTTCTTAGCTTTAGCAGTTAGCACACCCATTTGCAAACATGCTTCACTGTATTTCTCCCTTTGTAAGCATAATTTCTAATATGGATGCATATATTTGATTACACCTTCTTATTAAAGCCTTGAAGGCGATATAGGTGTGTAGGCATTAGTGTTATGCATTCCTGAGTCCTGACATTATTTGAGGTATTTTGACGAAATATCTGTCTCCATTGACAGAGTGGCAGTGAACATATTAACGTATATTCCAATTTCCATCCCTCAAGTTTCTCAAAAAAGTTAAAACAAAAACTTCACACAACATTTATAGAAGAGCTAAAACAAAAACATGGGAACATTGATAAATCATTTGTTTTAAATGGTTGTTTGGCCATACTTTTATTGTTACATACCGTAGTGCTTTTGTACCTCATCCTCTGAAGATATTTGGTGTTTGCCAAGCCAAGTGTACTTGTGCTGAAAAGTGGCAATAAGTTGTAGAAAAAGTAAACCATGTGTGATATTTTCATAACATTTTTAAAGCACATTAGTTCATGCGTTATATTTTGCCATGCATTTGTGGATTTGGCAAAACACTTGGTTCTTAATTGGAACATATTCATAAACGAAAGAATGTTTCAAACTATATGCTTCATGTTCGTTTTCCATTCTGGATGAGATTTCATTTGGTTTCAAATATCAGCAAGGCTGAATATATATAAATAATCTATGGTTGAAGTCATATTTATTGATTTAAATGCTCCACTGCCAGTTCTTGTATGAGTATGTACGATTATACGTAAACTTAGATCTTTTGAGGACCCTTGTCATATCACTAAATAAGCAGATCGTATTTTTGTGCATGCAGTTTTACACATTTCTTGAGACAACCCTCGTAACACTATCATTATTACCGGGCTTCATTACATTCTTCACTGATGAAGAGGAGATACCTGGTACTCCAGGCACCCTTGCAACTACTTTCCTTGCCTTTGGTAAGCTGTATGATTTTTCTTCGTGGCAAATCCTTTGTGCTTAAACGTACTCCTCAAAAAAAGCATAAGAGTTCTATTCTGATGACAGTGTTGAACCTTGCTTTTGCTTTGAGTGTATTTGGATTTCTGATTCTGCATATCTCGCTGGTCTCGGGGAATACCACAACTATTGAGGTGATCTTTTATACCTATCAGAATTTTCGTGCAGATTTCGTAACTAATACTCCCTATGTCTCTAGAAGAATTCTGCTCTGTTTTTTTCACGGAGTTTAAGAAAAAAAATTGTATGGTGTAAGTTTATGTAGGAGTGAAAATTATTCCAAGCTGCTCACTTCTTTCCCTAAATGGAATGAGATTTTTTTGGGACAATCGGGAAAAAAACATAAAATTCTTTTAGGGTGTATGCTTAATTTGAAACATTATTTCACCATCCATTTTCCTGGTCCTTTTCATGGTCTGAAGTAGAAACGAAGGAACAAAACTGAAAGTGTTAATGGCAAACTTCACATTTGATTTGATGGATAGCATCATTACACTTGGTACATTCTGTGAATGTCCTTAACTAGTCCTCGCTTGAAGCTCAATGACAGTAGTTGAGAAGAAATGTTTTACAGTTGGTGGCTGCAAGACTTATGTGGCCTTAACATCTTTAGCAACTGAACTACTTTGAATCTGTTCTTTTAGGCATATGAAAAGAAGAAAACTCCAAAGTGGCGCTATGATCTTGGTCGAAAGAGAAATTTTGAACAGGTGAGGTGACTTGAAAAAACAGGTTCTTGCAATGAATATTCACTCTTAGAATTGAGTCCTCCTTTACATTTCTTTTTTTGTTACAAGAAAGATTCTCTGTTTTCCAAACGTGTATTCCATCTTGTATCTCAAGTGTTCCAAGTTAGACGCAATAATGTAATGTGCAACCATGTAATTTCATTTCTTGTCTTAGGTGTTTGGGACAGACAAGCGGTACTGGTTCATGCCAGGCTACTCTCCAGAAGATTTGAAACGGATACCCGCCCTTCACGGGCTTGAATATCCGTCCCGGCCCGACTTTGATGCCCAGGAATTCTAGGCAACAAAAAGCTACTGAAGGTAACCCCTCATTGACTGACCTTTGTGATATAGGCCCATCTTTTTTTTTTTTTTTGAGAGAGAGAGAGGTGCTGTGCTGCCTGTGCATCCCTGAGTTGTGATATGTAAGATATAAGCAAAATACCAATCTAAAATACACACACACACACACAAAATATCTAACACCAGTAATTTCTTCAATTTTGTGGTGATTATAGAGGATGTAGATTAATCTTTCTGTAACACCCCAAACTTTGTTGTAACAATGTTATTATCTTGTCTCATTAAACTTTTTACTGAATTGGAGCTACTGTTGAACTTAAATCCCAATTCTAAGGGCAACCATTATCTGGAGAGCCATGCAGGGCAAAGTAATAACATCTCGCAAGCTTTGTTCCGTTCAACTTATTTTTTCAAATTATTACTTATTCCATTTAGCATTCTAGAAAAGTGTGTATTTTAAACACAAAATCCAAAAGTATCTCAAACACTAAATTTAATGTTTTCAAATGATATCTAACAACCTTTTAGCATTAGCTTTTTCTACCTTAGTTTACATCTTTAAGAAGAAGTTATCCAATAAACTAACGTTGTTCTCAAATGAAACCATTATAATGGTAACGCACATTACACATGTAATGCATTAGATCAACTTTATAAAAAAAAAAAGGACAAGCAGAAACTATCTATTTAAAAACTTTTGTGACTATTCTTAACTGCAAAACTAAATACTTCGTCTCTCTATTATGTAAGTATTCTCTTCATTTTTATTTTTTTCTATAAAAAAATCATATTCATTTAAAATATACCTCTGTCCCTAAGTATTTGTTCATTTTTGACTTTTTTTAGTCAACTGTTTTGAATATTTGACTTATAACTTAATAAAATATATATTGTACATGCATTTTGAAAATATTTAAACTCATAAATCTAATAAAACTACCCCGTATTTTGTATCAATATCTAATATCTTTTTTATTCAATTTGAGGTCAAAGTTTACCAATTTTGATAAAAAAAGTCAAAAGTGAACAAATACTCGAGGACAGAAGGAGTATAAACTTTTCTTATATATGTCGGGTCGGTATCATTTTAAACTAGAATCGTGTCTTCCCCTACATGAAATAAATTGTTAAAATAAATTGTTAGAAGCCTTAACAAATAGCCTTGCACCGCAATAGTACAATAAGTTTAATTTTTTAATTGGGGTCCCTATATCTTTAATTCATTGACTATTGTTATAATAATATATTCAAATTGGTGTTTTTATGCAATGTTGTATATTTATTGTTCAAGAAATGATATATTCATAAATATTTTGGTCATAAAATATACAAATTTGCCACATATGTACCTCATCACCAAGTAAAATCAATATTTTTAAATAATTTAAAAGAAAATTTGAATACATAAATGACAAGTTAATGTATTTTCTAAACAAAATATTCGTGACTCCAACATTTCTCATATTCTTCTCGTGGTGCAGTGATAAACATTTAGTTAAACTGTATGGTGGCTTGCAAACATATCAAACACAATGATAAAATAGTTGTTCTTACTGTTACTATATTTTATGAAAATAGTAATTATGATATACTCCTCCTGTCTACCTTAGATCTTTCCAGACACTATTCACAAGGTCAAACTTAATTCACTTTGTTTGTTTATTTTTACGACTCATTTCATAAAATAATATAGTGTTGTCTCTTTAGTTTTGTAGTGAAATTTGCATTAAATAGGACTAAAACATAATGACTTTTTTAATGTATGACTTAAATTTTTTTATTCCCTAAATAGGACTTAACAATGACCTAGTGAAAGGAATAATGTGATGGATATTTAGTTGAATAATGACTACTTTATAATGACAAAAAGTCCTACATTGGGAAATAAAAACATATGGTTCTATATTGGAAAAGTCATTATATTTTAGTCCTATTTAGGTAAATTTCTCGACTTTTTATGTGGTTTATTACTACATAGATTTTATATTAAAATTTTACCTCTATATTCAAATAAAGTGAATTGAAAATAAAGTCAGTTAAGCCTCGTAACGCGCAATGAGAAGATATTAGGAGGACTTGGAGGGAGTATTTTTTTTATGACCCACCTCACAATACCATTTGGGGATATTTTGATTTTTGATCCATCATTATTGGTGCTACTCTTTTTTGTCCTTCTCGTTGCTCGATCTCTTTTAGGTGGGCTGAGGCTGGCTAGGATCCGGGCCCCCACTCTTTGGATCACATGGCACCTTACCCCATAACCCCACTCTTTTATTCCTCCTCCTCAAAATCACTCTTTTCCCTAATCGTCATTTGTTATTATTTCACACTACTGTCATCGACGCATCTCCAGACTGCTGCTAGTGCTGCGGAGCCTCTCTTTTTTCCCCAAAAAAGTGGTGCGCATCAAGAATTCGATTCCGCAACCACTGATCGCAAAATGCAATTTTGATAATAAAAATCCTCTGGCACCTTGGGAGTTGGCGGAGAATCAGGAGGGTGAGGTCAGCTTCCGGGTGAACTTGCTTGCAACTACTGTGTTGTGGTGTGATTTCTCCTGGGGCTCAAAGATATTGGCCTTTCGAGTTTTCGACGGACAGTATGATTATTGCGTCAACGAGGTGCACTCCAACTGGAAGGTCAACACCGACGGGTTTTACATTTGCTGCGGTGAATTCCCAGAAGACAACCAATTCCGCAGACTATATGGCTGGAATGACGCTAGGGAATCAGCAATATAATGCTTTGAGTAGATAGAGTACGTAGACGTAATAATATATTTAGGTACGACTGAGTACCATTATTATTATTATTATTATTATTATTATTATTATTATTATTATTATTATTATTATTATTATTATTATTATTATTATTATTATTATTATTATTATTATTATTATTATGGGAAAAACATGTACTATATATGATGAAATGAATTATATTTTTCGACCAGATCCATTGTTTGCAATTCTAGAGTACCATTGTTAGAGCAATGCTAGGGGTACACCACCAAAGGTGTACTCCATTTGTCCTCCACCCCTTTCTCCACTACTCATTTTAATCCCATTTTTATTTATTTAATTTTGTTTTAGTTTCTTGCCCATTTTTGTGGTAATGGAGGGGTGGAGGACAAATGAGGTACACATTTGGTGTACCCCTAGCATTTTTCTTATTTCAATTGTGGTGAATTCCCCGCGGACGACAAATTTGTCCTCCTAAGTGGTTGGTCGGTCGTAGACTAATAATTGTTGTTGAAAGTTCGTGGGGGGCGCAGCGGAAATCACCAATTAAAAGCTATGCAAACAAAACAATCAACTATGTTGTAGAGAATATGCTGCAGCACTGTCACAGTAACAGATGACGGACAGTGTGCTATAACACTTCTCTGTCACAAGCACACACGTAGAAAATAAAGTAAAAACAGCAAGCAAGACACCAGAATTGTTCATGCAGTTCGGAGCAAATTCTCCTACGTCTGCAAGGCCCACGTCCGTGTAATAGCCCTTCCACTAAATCACCGTAAGAATTACACAATCAATCACAACAGAACCTTTTAATGTATTGATTTGTCTACTTACGAATGACTTGACGACAAACTCGGTTTGCGTCTATCTCCACGGCTTGTTACACCTTCTCAAAGATCTTCTTCAAGGACGTAGATTCCAATACACCTTCAAATAAAGATTTTCCTTGATCTACAAAAATATGCAGGCTGATCCGAAGCTCATAAATCAAGATTGAACCGTTAGAATTCAATCTCCACCGTTCAGATTGAAGCTCCACGGGTCCTTAGACTCCCCCTAAAATTTCAGCACGATCGGACAAGATTTGGTACTCCAACCAACAAGAAAACCAGGGCAGTATTTTCTGCAAAAAATCAGCAACTATGTGTAGATTGTAACTTCGATAACAGAAGATCCGCAACTCCGATTGACGTGAAATTTGAACACGTTGAAGCCCTATGTGTTGGGAACAGTCTCTGTAAATTTCAGCAAAATCCAACGGTCGGATCTCCGGTGATGATCAAATCTGTGCGGGCTGTCCAGAGAATTTACAGTCTCAAAATCTGCACCTTGTTTTTTCCTTTTGATCGAATTTGCTTCTGGTTTTTAGTAGTTTTGCCTGTCCAAAACCCTAAGGGAGGGTGAAGATATTAATAGAATAGAATAGCCACGTTAGAGTGTGCTTAGAATTCTCAACCATGGCCTCCTCCTTATGAATTGTAAACCAAATAGGATTAGAATCCAAGTAGGACTAGAATTCTCTCTTCAAGCTCTTTCCTCTTCCTCTTCCTTCACATGCTAGGACTCTAAATCTAAATAAAAAATCTAAAATAATTCTAGATAAATCCATTCGTTTGTCAAAAAACAATGCCAACACAATATGGAACTAACAGTTGTTGTTCATGATATAATTTATACGGAGTATTTTTTTTAATTTATTGTTTGCAATTCAAGGAGTACAAAAAATGGTGCCCCATTGCTCATTTTCTAAATATATAATTAATGAAATTCAAGTTTGTATAAAAGTCAAGAATCGGAAAAAAAAATTAGAATGGGAATGGGTAATCCGTTTGTGTGATGGAATGTTCAATAAATATAGAAGTCAAGATTATTGAGGAAATAAACAATATAAGGAATGGACGAAATATAGTGGCCCATATACAATAGGTGAGGATGTATTGGCCCATAATGTGAAAGCCCGGTCCTCCAATGAAGAGAGATCAATAAGACGAAAGTTGGGAGTGGGGTTATCCAATTGCCAGTTAAGCATCCGAGTATTGCACGAGAGGTGGAATCCCGACTATTCCTAGGTACCGGTGCCAAACCAATCACCACCGTTCGATCCGCTCCCATCATCACGAGATTCTATCAGCCACGCCATTCGCAATATTTTAAAGAGAAATTTACAACTAAAACATAATGACTTTCCCAATATAGGACCATATGTTTTTATTTTTCAATGTAAGACCTTTGGTCATTATTAAGTAGTCATTATTCAACTAAATTTCCATCATTACTGGACATTATTCCTTCCACTAAGTCATTATTAAGTCTTATTCAGAGAATAAAAAAGTTCAAGTCCTACATTAGGAAAGTCATTATGTTTTAGTCCTATTTAGTGCAAATTTCACTATTTTAAATCCGGATTTCAAGTCCGCGGTATAAAGAACACCAAAAAAAGACTCATTTTTTTAGTTAATAAACACAAAACGCGCTTTGCCCTTTAGGCTAATCTACTTTATGCCTCCTCCGGAAAAAGAATTCTGATTCAAGAAATTTACAAGGAAAAATAAAAAAAAATACTCCCTCTATCCCAAAAAGATTTACACGTTTCAAAAAAATTGCGTCCCACAATCTTCTACTCATTTTTATTAAAAACCACTTTTATGCTTACTTTTTCAAACCCTACCTATCACATCATACCTTTTTCCTAATAATCTACACATCACATTTTACTTTTACCTATCACGTCAAGGGTAATTTTGGAAAGTCAATACCAAATTATCATTCTTTTAAATTTAATTTTAGTCAAAATGTGTAAATCTTTTTGGGACAGAGGTAGTACTTTTCTCTGGTGCTAGGAGTGCCACCTGATGCGCGAAAAAACACGGTGCATAATGCCACAGTAGAGAGTTAAGAGCACTGGTAATGGGTTTGAAGCCCCGGGGCTTTAAATCGGGGCTTCAAACCTTCTCTCTACCACGTCAGCTTTAACTTACACCTAAAATTCACTGGAAATGGGTTTGAAGCCCCAGGGCTTCAAACCTTCATTTTTTTACATTTTTAAATATACATCTTCTAAAATTAAATTAATAAAATTAAATTAATTGATTATTTAATTAAATTGAAACACGAATAATAAAAAAATACATTAATTAAATAGAAAAAGCGACAATATTTTTAAAAAAAGATACATTAATAAAAAAACTAAGGTAAATTATATTTCTCCTTAATCTCTCTCATTCTTTGCTCGTAAATTATTAGTCCAAACTCCGACAACGTCCCGGGGTCAGTTTGCATGACTTTCATCTCCTGCTCCTTTGTTTTCAACTCCTCCTTTAGCTTCAACCTCTCTTGTTCCTGGAGATTGAACGCCCGAACTAGAGACAATGGATTTTGCCTTCTTTCTTCTGATCGGCCGTGGAATGGGGTCCTCGTCATCGGAATCTACAACGTTGAAGGGAGGGATTTGATCGGTAGAACCGATGGTCTCGTCGACCTCAACCTCGACGTCGACGGTGGATCTTTTTCGAAACGATCCGCCGTCGGGATTGTATAGTTGTTGCCACTTCAGGGAACGACTCAAAATCCTCAAAAGATCAATGGACAATGGGCACCTTGCCTTGGTTCCCGTCGTCTTGAGACCGGGTCGTGGCAAGCCGGAGAATATCGGCGTCGTTCGTAAACTCCGATAAACTTTCAGACTTTTTTGTTGATGTGGCTCCATTTGGAAGTGAGTTGGTCTCGAGTTCGGTAAGAGTTGTCCTTATTCATCGCCGTGAAAAACTTCTCCTCGATACGATCCCACATCACATCCTTCGTTTGCTTCGTACCTTTAAAAATGTATTACACAATTTTTTAGACACCATTAAATATAATATATAAAAATAAAAACATAAATATATTAGAAAAAAGAAAATTTTTACCAATGATAGGATGCTCGGAGACGTCAACCCAAGCCGAAGCCAATATGCACTCCTCCTCCGGCGTCCACTTTTGGATTGACCGTGCCGCCATGGTCAACATGCTTTTGGCTTTATGGCTTTTCTGGCGTGTACTTTTTTTTGATCCGGACAATTCCGGTTGAGTCTCCGGAACCGATTCTCGGTCGACGTACCCCGAATGTTGCGTCTCATATATCGGCGGTCGATCGCCCCACTGTTGGAACAACCACATCGCGGTGTCACTCGGCAGGAGATCGTCGGGAAAGAAGCCGGAGCCGGAAGGATTCATGTTGAATAGAGAGGGGGTAATTTTGAAATTTAAAATTTGGGAAGAAGAAGAGATTGAAGATGGAGAAGATGTGAGAGATTGGGAGAAAGGGGTTTGAATTTATAAGAATTTTTTTTGAAATGGGGTGCAACGGCTATAAAGCCGTTAGGGAGGGGGAGGGGAGTGGAATGACTCCGTGTCATTCCTTTGACGCAGTGCTGATCACGCCTGGAGGGGGGCGGTGTTTAACGCCGTCGGGGCGTTAAACGCCCCATCACGCCAGCGGGCGTGAAGCCCATTACCAGTGCTCTAAGAAGCTAACTAAATTTCTAATTGAAAAGGGGCGAAAGTGGAGGCGCCAGAGAGTTGTTGGCCGGCGGACTAGGGGGACTGTGGCGGCAGAGGCGGTTGTGGAGTCCCCGTCGTCGGCTGTCGTCTTCTCCCGGAAACAACGACATAGGAACCACAACACACCCTTAATGGCAAGAGTGACGAGAATTTACGCCTTCAATGACATGTGGTAATTCAATCCCTTCTTTAGAAATGGGGTTGTACGTGTTTGGCGCATTTGATAACTATGGGGGACATTTTGATCCATCATTATTGGTGCTTGAATAGTACTAAATGTGGATCCATCATTCATGAGAAAAACTTCCCAAGAAGGTGAGATTAGCTAGCTGGCCTGGATGAAAATGGTACTTAACCACACCGTGATAATTAAGTAATTAAGTGTAGAGGGCAAACAAGCTAAGTGTGAAATCTTTGGGGTTGGGTGGGTATGTGGGGCTTGCATCATTCATCCCCATTCTGTTTAGGGCACTGCATGCCACTTTCTCTTATGGGCCCTATCAACGAGCTAGAGATGGAAGGGTGTGCAGAAGAAGAAGACGAAGGCCGGGTGCCAGCAGTGACTTTGGAGGACTACTACTCGTTTTGTCCTTTGCTCGATCTCTCTTAGGTGGGCTAGACATTTGAGGCTTCGGGCCCCACTCTCATCGCGTGGCACCTTACACCACGCACTTTTGATGCTATATATATATATATATATCAGGGTATGTACGACCACCTTGAATTTATCACATTGCCTTGCTCATAACCTCCCTGATTCAATTAAGAAGAAGACGAGCTGAGGATGATGGTACACATTAATAATACCATGCCTACCCATAACCCAGTCCAGCCTCCGCAACCACTGGTCGTGAAATAAGTTTCCAATAGCGATAATCTGAGGCCGTGGACGTTGGCGGAGAATCAGGGGCGGGAGATCCGCTTCCTGGTGCAGTTCAATATATAGCATGACTCTTTTCAAGTGCTATTTCACGTGCGTGGGGCTCCAAGCACTATGTCGTTACAGTCTTCGACGGCCTCCATGACAGGTGTTTTGATGAGAGGCATTCTTATTGGCAAATCAGGCCGATGGGATTTTACTTCAACTATGGTGAATTCTCAGAGGACGATAAATTTGTCCTCCTAGGTGGTTGGTCCTAGACTAATTATTGTTGTTGATCATGCTAGTATAATTTATGTTTTTGAAATTTATTGTTTGCAATTCAAGGAGTAGAAAACGATGCCATGTCTTAAAAGATCTTTCTAGCATTTGTCTTAAATTTTCTAGTTTGCAATTTTTAGTTTGTTAAAAGATCTTTGCAATTTTTTTTGAATTGGGGGGGTGCAATGGCTATTATAGCCGTTAAGGGGGGAGGGGAAAGGAATGACGCAGCGTCATTCCTTTGACGCACGCCGGATCACGCCCAAATCACGCCGATG